CAATGGTTTGTTGTTCTGATGGAAAAAACACTCGATTTAAACAGGGGTCTGGCACAAAATTTCCTTCTTGTTTTCCTTGAAAAGTTTCTCCTCCGATGAGAAGTAATGTGATCCTTGCATTACTTCAAGAATCTTTTCAATCACAAACTGTGATGAACATTCTTGGGAAAGGTGAGGGTGGTATCAATTTGGGATATATGAGAATGGAGATTTGCATCCATCAGTGATGTTGTTGAACATACATTGTCAACCTTTTTAAAGTCCTGTAGCATGTATTTCGCCTATCTCAAGAGCTTGGTTTGCGGCGTGATTGCTGTATCTCATATATATCTTCTACTCTTTAGCTGATGTGGGGTTAAAGTATGTATCTGAACATTGTCGTATTCATCCTTCAACCCTGCACCAATTTATTTTTCAGGCAGCAAAAGCACTAGAAGAGAAGCTGAAATCTTCTGGCGTTCCGCACGAGGTTCACATCTATCCTGGCCGTGCACATGCTTTCATGAATGACTCACCAGACGGCATGAAGAGGAGGAAGGATATGGGATTGAACGACGAGGACCCTGCCACTGTTGAATTGGCTTGGTCCCGCTTTGCTTCATGGATGGGTAAATATCTGTCCTCTGCATAGGATCCCTTTCCAAATATGTTGTCCTTCTTAGATGAGTCTAGCTTTATGAATAAACTGGCAGATGTGTGATAAATGTTGTCATAATCTGAGCGAAAACTTCCATCCTCTATCACTATGCGCTATTTTGTATGCTAGTATCTTGTGTGTTTGTCGCATGATGTTGTTTTGTTTAGTGCTGGTTCTGTTCATGTCAAACTGTTTCTTCATATTCCGCGGCTCTGTTAAATAGTTGGTTGACGATGTTTACTTTGGCTCAGTCGAGTGTTATGAAGCCCGATATTTGAAGTGGCAGATAACAATTCGGTTTGCTTGTCTAACGCATGCTTGCGCGAAATTGTGTATTTACAAGCTTAGTCTTTTTCGCAGCGAGTCAGCAGGCGAACAAGCTTATCGCTGAAGTCCCGAATGGCTTCTGAGCTTTGTGTTGCGGAGGCTGCATTAAGTCCTAGTCTATCGGCATTAACGGCTGGTTCCAAATTTGCTTGCGAGAACTCGAAGTAAATAAAGCTAATTATTTTTGTAAATTAAGCTAAGAAGGAAGAAAGAGAGGTTTTTGCACCTTATATTGTTCCTTTAGATTATATTTGATTTGAATACATCTGAATATAATTTGCTTGCAAGCCCTATGGCCTGATAAACGTAGAACGTTTCTGTTAAATTTAATACGGGGAAAGCTGAGATTCTTTGTTCTCCATTGATTTTGAGGGAAAACAAATCCAAAGCAGGCAAACCAAATACATTTGAGCTTTTACTAGTTTTTTAAGATTTAAGATGAAGATTTAATTCTTACTCTCTAAGACTTGAACATGATTAAATTTATTGGATCCAGATTAATAACCCACAACCGTTAAGAGAGAATTTTGTCTCATCGGTGTCCTTATCCCTGCTTTATATATGAAGAGAAATTAGTGGTTAATATAAAGTCGTTACTTAACAATTAGTGGTCACCTTAAGCTGCCACGTGACAAATAGTTGTTATTTAGCGATTTGTATTCTATTTGCCAATTAAATTTTAATTGATTGTAAGTATATTTTAGAAAGAGATAAGTATTTTTAACCGCATATTCTTTTCCAAATAAATCTCTTTCTGCATAAGTTCACTATCATCTTATCCTATTTTATAATTTCAATTTTTATATCAACAAAATTTTATAATGACTAATATACACTTTCTTTATTTAAAGAGAAATTAGGGATTCTTCTAAAGTACGTAGCAATTAGTGGTTACATTAAGTCGCAGTGCGGCAATTAGTTGATATTTAGAGTTTCGTACTCTATTCTACAATCTAATTGATTCTTAAGCAATAGCGGTGATGATGATGAGAGCCAAATCTCATGTACAATGATTTAGGAATATATTTCATGCTATCAGATATAAAAGTAATTTTTTTAGGAGGCAACACGTTAAAATATATAATTGAATGTAGGAAAAAAATTACTCCTAATTTTCACTGTTCTCGACCTCCACAACCGCAATGGCCAAAGGAAATAGACTATCATATGCATCTACTCCTGTAGCAAAAAAAGTTATGGGCCAATTGCATATTATTTTTAGTCGGTACTCTCGTGGGTCAATTTTCGTAACTCAGTGTAATTTCTTAATCAAGTCATAGTAACTATATGATTCTGAGATCATTAACGGCGTCGTTACCCCTTCGACGTACATTAGCATATTATTCATTCCATAATTAATTTTTCCAACATAAGAGCAAGTAATAAAAATCATATTATTCAACCTATGCAAAATATGCAAAAGAAGATTATATTATTTAAATGCAAAAAAATTAAATTTTTTTTTATCAAGGCATTGAATAAGAGAGGAAAACCCAATATGCAAATAATCTCATATAATTTTGATCAAAAACCCTAAACCTCAAAATGAAAACCCTAAACCCTAGAAGTTTAATTTCATTTATAATAATCAACACACAAAGCATTTGAACCACCACAAAGATAGTGATTGATAATAAATTTTAAACTCTAGAAATTGGATTTTGATGGAACCCTACATTCAATCCTAGATTTTTACATGTTAAAAGAGGAGAGAAGGAAGAGAAATTACCCTAGAGATCTTAAGCAAACTTTCACGATGAATTTCGGCCACAAAATGTGGTTGGGAGAAGCGGGTAGTCGGCTGAACCGAGAGAGACCGGAATTGGAGAGAGAGAGAAAAATCGAGATTTTGGGGGAAGGGAGGGTTTCGGTCCGTATATATAAGCGAGAGGCGACCACTACAATGGTCAGGGTTAACAACCCCGACTATTTCGTGACTTAGCTGCTTCCCAAATTTGTGGTTGGGAAGTCTCTGCTAAATGGTCAGGGTTAGGAGCCCTGATCATTTCGATTTGGGGTGCCTTGCGGAATGTCTTCCTCTGCTAAATGGTCGGGGTTCCCAATCCCAACCATTTTGTGCGGCAACAAAATTAGTCGGGGTTCGCAACCCCGACTTGTTTAGTCCCCTAACCATGCATCTCGCGCTGGGGACGCCCTAATTAGTCGGAGTTGCCAACCCTGACTAATTAGGAAGGTGATTTTTTTTTATATCGACTTAGTTTCTGGCCTTGATGCTGACTCGTTTTTTGGAATTAAAATTGGAGTGAGTCGATTTTTTTTTAAAAAAAAATTATTTTGGCGCTCTTTTGAAAATTTCTTCTTATAAAATTAGCATATGAATGTCATGTGAGAACTTTCATATAAACATTTTCACGTTTGGATGATAAAGGGTACGGACATGCTGCTTATAAACAACTCATGAGATATTATATGCTATGAAAAACAGTTGAGGGTATATAAGTGCTAAGTGCATGAAACTATAATGTACTTTAATGTTATTTAACATTTATATATTCTACCCTTCTTGTAATCAACGCATAACAATTACTGCTTTGATTAAAGCATCTCGGAAATATGGGGTGCTTAGATTAAGCCCCTAGGAATTATATTACTTTTGAGGATTTCCGCGGAACCCCCTACACATTGGGGTGTATCACCCATGAATTTTACTAAACACCTAAAAGAGGAGAGAAGGAAGAGAAATTACCCTAGAGATCTTAAGCAAACTTTCACGATGAATTTCGGCCACAAAATGTGGTTGGGAGAAGCGGGTAGTCGGCTGAACCGAGAGAGACCGGAATTGGAGAGAGAGAGAAAAATCGAGATTTTGGGGGAAGGGAGGGTTTCGGTCCGTATATATAAGCGAGAGGCGACCACTACAATGGTCAGGGTTAACAACCCCGACTATTTCGTGACTTAGCTGCTTCCCAAATTTGTGGTTGGGAAGTCTCTGCTAAATGGTCAGGGTTAGGAGCCCTGATCATTTCGATTTGGGGTGCCTTGCGGAATGTCTTCCTCTGCTAAATGGTCGGGGTTCCCAATCCCAACCATTTTGTGCGGCAACAAAATTAGTCGGGGTTCGCAACCCCGACTTGTTTAGTCCCCTAACCATGCATCTCGCGCTGGGGACGCCCTAATTAGTCGGAGTTGCCAACCCTGACTAATTAGGAAGGTGATTTTTTTTTATATCGACTTAGTTTCTGGCCTTGATGCTGACTCGTTTTTTGGAATTAAAATTGGAGTGAGTCGATTTTTTTTTAAAAAAAAATTATTTTGGCGCTCTTTTGAAAATTTCTTCTTATAAAATTAGCATATGAATGTCATGTGAGAACTTTCATATAAACATTTTCACGTTTGGATGATAAAGGGTACGGACATGCTGCTTATAAACAACTCATGAGATATTATATGCTATGAAAAACAGTTGAGGGTATATAAGTGCTAAGTGCATGAAACTATAATGTACTTTAATGTTATTTAACATTTATATATTCTACCCTTCTTGTAATCAACGCATAACAATTACTGCTTTGATTAAAGCATCTCGGAAATATGGGGTGCTTAGATTAAGCCCCTAGGAATTATATTACTTTTGAGGATTTCCGCGGAACCCCCTACACATTGGGGTGTATCACCCATGAATTTTACTAAACACCCATGAATTATATAACTTTATAAATTTTAGTAAACACTCATGAATATTGAGGTGTCCCACAAAATCCTCTACACTTTTAAATTTTCCCAATGAACCTCCTAATGGTGTGCCAATGGCCATTAGGAAAAAATAGTCATTTGACATTAATTCCTAATTTTTAAATTAAATTAATGAATTGCTAACAGAAGTAATAAAATTCCTAACCAGTGGCGGATTTAAATGGGATGTAGGCGTGCAGTTGCACCCTGAAATTCTATAAATTGCGTATGAGACCTTGTAAACAATTTATAGTCCGCCTACCATAAATTTTAAAAATACATCTCAATCTATTTAGGAACACTAAATAAGTTAATGACAAATTAAATTAGCCCATTGGAAAGTAAAAGCACAATTAACTTCTCAAAATTAAAATCGAATAGGCTCAATAGAACTCATAAAGTGTATGGAGTGCATAATAATATTTATTTATATTTCTAGGTGAACACTACTTGTTTTCCGCATTCGCGAAGAAATTTTTTCTAGATCTGAATTACTAGATCAATTACGTTGGGTTGTGTTTGAGGACATTATTATGCATCCTGTGAAAACGGTGAAGGAATTGAGAAAAACGTGAAGAATAAGCAAAACAGACTTCACCACACCCTGGTGTGATTTCTGTCATGGGTGTGGCAGAATCTGCCCTGTATGCCATGGGTGTGGTGTCTGCCACACCCTGGTGTGACAGAATCTGCCCTGTTTGCCATGGGTGTGGTGTGTGCCATATCAGGATGTGGCAGACTCATTTTTAGAATCCTAATCTATTTGTGATTGTGTTTTGTTATAAATAGAACCACGTTTTTTAGGGTTTCTTAAGGAGAGAATTAACATTGTTTTGAGCACTTTGAGAGGGAGATATTGTGAGGGAGTTGAGAACTTTGGTTAGGGTTATATTTGAGTGATTTTGTGAGTTGTAACCCGTTGTATTTCTCCTCCATATAGTGAAATCTCCCCATCCTCTCCCCGTGGACGTATGCAATTGCCGAACCACGTAAATTCCTGTGTTTGTGTGTGATTTTGGTCGTTATTTTGTGAATTGCACTCGTGTTTGGTTTTGGTTTTCTTCTCTCATCGCTCACCGACTCATTTGGTTGTCGAGCACGCTTCCGCAAGGCGCGCGACAAGTGGTATCAGAGCTCAGATTTCAGATCTAGGGTTTTAGATTAGGCGGAGGAAGATTCAGT